AACAAGACTTTACTGCACGTTTAGCTAAGGTTATACGAATCAATTTACCGCGTAACAATTGCCGATGATAAAAGGTCCATTTATATATGAAAACCATATTTAAACTAGCCCGCTAAAAAAAGATACTAAGTCCCAGAAAAGTGGGATAAAGCGTTTTTGGCGGTTAAACATTAATCACACTTTTTGGGTATGCTATTCTGTGTTACTCAGTGGGATGAATATAGCGCCGTTTATGTGACGCGTTCGGAGATCTCGGCTATAGATAGGCAAATTTGGCCTCACACGCCCTTGTTGTGAGGATGACAAAGTCTATGTGAGATGGTAATTCATTTAATAGAAACTATCCTACAACTAATATATAAGTCAAAAATCAATTCTGAGCAATTTTTAGACAAATTCGCATTTACAGCTGTGGTAGTGCACGAAATTGTCTTAATAAAACTACAACTTTTTTTTTTGAAAACTAATCCTAATGATAGAAGCGACTGTGTTGATGACGAATTGATTAACATCTATGATCGCGTCTTTTTTGCTCCTCTATGCACATGCAAAATAATACGTATAGTGGTTTTGATAAAAGCAATAAAAAATAGCTGGTATCTTAAGAGAAGATATACTGTTCAAAAAATGGTTTCAGCTGCTTTTCAAAAGAAACACTGTTGAAGATATTTCTCATAATTTGAAACTGGGACTCAAAATTAGTTAGTATTGAAGGTAAAAGGCACTGGGTTGTGTAAATGCAATAGTTTCGTAAATGCTTACATCTCTACGGTCAGAAGTGACGAGCGGAGTTGTAGATAGGGCAAACTGCACATGAAAATAATCAAAATAATAAATTCTTAATAGCATAAAAGTCCTTTTTTTTTTCAAATCACTTCAATTTTCTTCAATTCAACATTATTATACATTTTTTAGTCTTTAAAATAACTCCTATCTTTTGAGATAAATATATAAGTGTATAGTGTTACTCCTAAATAAATGATTTTCTCCAGAAAACGCTCCTTTTAATTAAATCTCGTAGCTAATCACAGACTTTGTGATTCGCAGACTTCTATGTGGTCCGCATCGGAAGATGAAACCTAAAAGTGTCAGAGTGGATGTCTGCCGCAAATTGCAACAAATCAGGTCGAGGAATATTCTTTGCAGCTGTGCTGTCACCCGACAGCGAGCGCTCGTACGAAATAGCGCTTTTATGATGGAGGCTATCGGCTGACCTTCCTGCGTCGGCTGACGAGCGAACGTCAGTCGATATTCCCTCTCTCCCATGGGAACTCGTCAAAGCGGCTTGAGGACTGGCCATCACTGGTCCTAAAGGTCTCAATTCTGTTTCTGCCTAGCCGAGTTCTAGTGCGTTTTTATTCTCTTTGTTGAAAACACTTTCCTTCGAATCGTTAGTTTCCTCATTGACAGATGAAACGGTGCAGTCTCATCATTGATTTACAGTGAATTGTAGGATCTTTGACTTCTTATTCTTAATGAATTTGACTGCTTCGTTTTGTCAATTAAGTGTATCGCAGTACTTAGCCAG